TACTCCTAGAAGAGAAATCGATTAGTCGCCTCTGTCCCTCTTAATCGATTACTGGCCTTTTTTTTAATCTATTAAAATCCTTCAAGGAAACCTTCTTTACCTCTGCTTCACTTTTAATCGATTAATCCTGTTAAATTAATCGATTAGACCCATCTGTCCATCTTAATCGATTAACCATCTTTGTTTAATCGATTAATAGCCCGAAGCGCAAACGTCTTTGGTTCTGCTCCACTTTTAATCGATTAATTAGTTCAATTTAATCGATTTGCCTCGGCTGTGTTCCTTAATAGATTAAATAACCTTTTTTTAATCGATTAATATTCGATCTTTGCTTCCCTTTATAATCAGACAGTGCCTTCGTCTTCATCGCCATCTCAAGAAAATTCGAAATCAAGTGTTCTCTGCGTCCAACTCTTTCTCCCCATTCCCGATAAAATACTTCGGCAGTAACTTCATCTTTCTCGTTCGACGGTGCACGGTTCTACCGCCCTAGACCTTGCACAAAGCGGTTTTATCCTGGGAGGAGATTGCCCATGTTTGCCAGTGCGGGAGGCGGGCAATACTACCTTAAGGAAAGCTCCGGCGACTCCGCTTTCCTCCGTCCGAAGTCACCACCTTCCTGTCCGTTCGTGTTCCTCCATTCCGTTCGAGCGTCCAAGAACTCCAATTTTTTCTCTTTATTTCCGTTGTAAAAATCCGAACGTTTTATAAGTTCGGATTAATTTTTATTTTCATTTTTCCCGCTGTAATATTCATCAGTTCTTATATATTTCTTCACACTTCTCCAAAGACATGAGCTTGAATCATATATAGTAAACCCTGGTTCTTTCATGTCATCGCCATCCATTGAAAGGATGTGTAAACCCTGTTTGGGCACCAGCCCCAAACTAATTGCACGCCATACAACCTCATTTTTTCCTGATGAAGAGAGATGTAAACTCCACAAGATTCAAAAATGAAATTCTAGATATAACAATATAATGTTTTCACAAATAACTCTGAATTGAGAGAACTAAGGCCAAAATCACGTTTACTCAGGTAAAACTATTTGGAACCACGTCTAAACAAACATACATCATTCCAAAATGTCTCTGCACAAGAACAAACATCCACTCTAATCCCCAAAAAACACTCATCCATTCCTTCAATTCCCATTACAGATTGACGCCCTAACTGACCACATATTTGAATTCCAACATCATCAGATCTTGTCAAACCTAAATGAAGCACGTGCTAAAACGGCAAAGCTTCATCTTATAAAACTCTTTGGAAAAAAAGAAGTTTAAAGAACACAATCGTGACTCGTAAGTTTTAAAAGAAAAATAAAACATGAACTCGTACTCAAGTTTTAAAAGAAAAATAAAACATTAACTCACTAAATGAACACAACACACATCTTCCAATACCCACTAAGTAGACTCAAACTCTCCCCGATCGTGTTATTTCTCATTAATGGTGTGTGGGTAAAATATCCAATAACAATGCCTTTAAAAAAGAAAGAAAAAAGTTTTTCAATGTAACCTACTGCTATTGGGAAATCAAGAAAATGCTAGAAATTGAAAACAGTGAAAATAGCAACAAAAAATAAAATTAAAAACAAAAAATAATACAATTCATCCCAACCAATTAACAGTCAGAGTGTTTACCATACAAATTTGATGACGTTAGTATATGAACATACGGAGTAAGAGAGAGAGAGAGAGAGAGAGAGAGAGAGAGATTACCGTCGCTTCAAATCTGTAGCGACTGACTATTGAAACTGGGGCAAGTCGAAGTTGGCGCTCAAAGAGAAGAGAAGATGAAGATGAAGATGAATAGACCTTTTTGCAGCGTAATCGGATCTGGGAGAAAAGAGTGACCAATCGGATCTGGAAGAAAATAGTTACGGTTCACATTCCATACCAATTGATGATGGAGTTGTGCACTGAAGAGAGAGTTGAGAAGTTTTTCCGAAGGAAGAGTCGCATACTTTTCGTATGGGAGTGGAGGTCTGCGGTTGGATCTGAAATGAACAGTTAGGATCTTTCAATTTTCTTACAAATTAAAATTGAACCGTTGATTATTAATTGTGGTCAGGATTTAATCAGTTTTTTCTAGAGTGAAATTGGGCCGTTGATCTCAGATTTAGGCGGGTAAATTGGATTCTCAATTTGCATCCTTCTTTTATATATATAATAGATATATTTAATTATTTTATGTATTACGGTCTATAAAACAAGGACCTAAAAACCACAAAAAACATTTATCATTAATTTTGAAAAGGTCAACCTAACTTAAGAACGTAACTACATGTAGGGCTGTTCACATTTAGGTCGGGACCGAAAAAACCGACCGAATCGGACCGGTAGGTCCAGACCGAACCCGGACCGAATGGATTTCGGGTCGGTCTTCGGTCCAGAAAATTTTGGCATTCGGGTTTCGGTCCGATCCGGTCCAAACCCGAAATGATTTAGGTCCGGACCGATTGGACCGGTTGGACCTAATGACCTACTGGACCTAAAAGACCTAAATACTAAAACTCTACTTTTTGAATTTCGTATTACACTTTGATGCTCTATTTTAATAAATATTTTAATTTATTTAATTTAAAGTGTTTTTTATTAAGTAATTTTAAAAAAATCTTTAAAAAAACATTTCATATTTGTTTTTATGGTTCTACATTGAAGTAGTTCATATTGTTTATCCATTTTAAAGCTGTCTATTTTTTTTATTCATTTTCTATTTGAATGGTACAAAGTAAAAAGTCTAAAATATATTTAATTGATCAAAATAATTAAAAAAAATATAATTTTTTCGGTCCAATCGGTCCGGACCGGTTCGGTCCTAAATATTTCGGTCCGGTCCGGTCCAAACCCGAATGGATTTAGGTCCGGTCTTCGGTCCAAGAATTTACTCATTTCGGTCTTCGGTCCGGTTCGGTCCGGTCTTGGACCGATGAACAGCCCTAACTACATGCGCAATATAACTCTCTCTTTACTTTCTTGAAAAAAGTTAACCAATAAAACCACTATTATTGTCAAAAAGATAAAGTAGTACTAGTCTAGTAATGATTTGCATACAATTTCTTTTATTGAAAAAGATGCACCCCTTTTCGCACATTTCGAGGGAAAAAATATGAATAAAACTAGGGTATATTAAAATGGATATCTCATTTGTATACCAGACAAACACAGATAAGTACAGATATTTAGTTATACTTTATCTCAAATTATTAGTGTCTGTATTTTTCTGTGTTTGCCTGGTGTACAAATGGGGTATCCCATTTTGGTGTACCCCTAGCATGTCCCAAAAGCTATTTTAGTTATACTCTATCCCAAATTATTGTTATTTTTGTTGGACATGAGTTCAAATCTTTTTATTATATTTTTTTTGTTTTGATGAATGACAAATAGGATGATTATTAAATTCAAGATGATCGAAAATTTATTTTACGTATCGAGAAAAGGAAAGAGGCGTATCAAGATATTTACGACGATAAAAATCAATCGCTCACCCCTACGCAGATTTTTGAAGTAAAGTGAAGATTCCGAAGACCTTTTATTTATTGAGTCTAGGAATTTTTGTAAGGATGACAATACTTTTTGCATAAACAAATTATTTTTGAGGGATAAAAATTATTATTTTCTGAGTCAGTTGAAAATTTATTTTTTTCTTTATCTAATAATATTTTACTGAGTCACTTTCAAAATAGTGTGTCAAAATTTCTTAAAAATATTTTTTTAAGGATACACATTTTTTGGTAAGAAAAATATACTTTAAATATTTTTCGTGTACATCGTTTGACACACAAAATAATTTTTGGACTCACTTTTTCTCCCCTATTCAAAATTAATTGAAGAAGGGATATTATTTGAGGAGTGTTCGTGTTATTCTCGATGTCTCAAACAAAGAATATGAAGCCAATGCCTTTCAATCGCAACTGGCCTTGGGCCCTTTGTGTTTTTGCGCATTATTCTCTTTTAATCGATTAAAAGCCTTTATTCAATCGATTAGATCCAGCTCCTGAGCGTTGGATTCCTCAGGCCATAAATTAATCGATTATTAATCTTCAGTTAATCGATTTGTTTGGACAGAACCACCTAATCGATTTTTTTTTCAATTTAATCGATTAGTTCCATTCCTCATTTCAGGCTTTTTCGCTTCTGTGTACCGTAATCGATTTAAACTTCTACTTTAATTGCTTATTTTTTTTCTGGTGCATATTCTCAGCTTGCTCCAACGAATTTATTTTACTCAGCCTATTTAATCCCTCCTTCTCCTTCATTTCAATACAACTCTTGCACTCCAATCTTTATTGAGCTATATTCATCTCTTGCTTCCATCTTCTTCATCAAATATTATTTTTGAGAGTTAGAAATACTTTCATTGAGTGCTAAAGATATTGTCATCCATAGAGCTTTAATCTTTCAAACACTACTTGCTCAATTGTGTGTGCTTTCATTCTTGTGTTGTAAACTCAATCTTGTTTGAGTGTTGTTCTTAAGACTTGTGTGACTCAAGTCTTGGTGTTGTAAGAAAGTGAGGCTTGTGTGATTCAAGTTCTCAAGTTGTACCAGTTTTACAAGCACCCGTTGAAGCTTGAAGATTAGTAAGACTTTCGAGAGAGTCTCTCGGAGGACTAGATTAGCCACGAGGTGGTGAACCAGTATAAATCTCGGTGTTCTTCTTTCCCTTACTCCTATTTATTTTTCTGGCGATTTTTAGTTCACACACACGCGAAAAACGCACATTTTTGAAAACAACTCTATTCACCCCCCCCCCCCCCTCTAGAGTTGCACTTTTGCCTAACAATTGGAATCGGAGCAGGAAGTTCTTCGAATATGTTATTTTTTTCAGGAACTAAAAGATCAAATGGCATCAAGAATGTTCAACGCAGGAGTGACCGAGGGACAATCAACCACAAGGCCACTGTTGTTTGACGGAACCAATTATTCTTATTGGAAGGAGAGGATGAGGATCTTCATCCAATCTAATGACTACAAACTGTGGTTGATAGTCAAGAACGGGTGTGGAGTCCCGATGAAGAAAGTCGGTGAAGTCAACGTCCCCAAAACCAAAGAGGAGTTCACCGACAAAGACTGCAAAAAGATGGAGCTCAACGCAAAGGCAATAAACATGATTTATTGGGGTGTTAATGCGGATGACTACCGCAAAATCTCGTGGTGTGAAACCGCAAACAAATGTGGGAGAAATTGGAGGTCACCTACGAAGGAACCGGGCAGGTTCAGGAGGCCAAAATCGACCATCTCACTCATGAGTACGAACTCTTCTCAATGAAGGAAAACGAGAAGATTGAGGAAATGTTTGAGAGGTTCTCTAACATCATTAATCCTCTCAATCTTCTCGGGAAGACATACACCGACCGAGAACTCGTGAGAAAGGTGCTACGAAGCTTATCCCCAAAATGGCGTTCAAAGGTGGACACAATCGAAGAAGGTCGTGACTTCCAAACAATGACCTATGATGCTCTTCGAGGTAATCTCATTACCCACGAAACCACCCAACTCTCAAAGGTGGTTGAAGAGAGGAGCAAGAGGTCTATTGCTCTACCCGCAACAACATCAACCCATAACAACATTGATGATGAAGATGATGATAGCGACGACACCGACCTCGGACTCTTCGTCCGAAAATTCAAGAAGATGATGCTCAAGAAGGGAGCCAAGAAGAACACTCCACCCAAGTGCTATGGGTGTGGTGAAATTGGACACATCAAACCAATGTGTCCAAAGCTCAAGAACGAGAAGGACAAGAGGGCACCGAAGAAGCAACGTGCCTACATTTATTAAGAGAACGACGACTCCGGGAATGAAGACTCGGAAACGGAGGAAATGACCAACTTGTGTCTCATGGCCATTCAGGATGGTGAAACATCAAAAGAGGTAAGTGATCAAGAACCTTCTTCCAATGATCCTTTAACTCTTAATGATGTTGTTTGCATTGTAGAAGATTTAGTAGGAATGTTCAAAAAGGCTTCCAAAGAAAACAATGAAGTAAAGCAAAAGATCCTGATTTTTTGAGAATGATATCAAAGAACTCAAAAATATAAATGATAGAGTTAAACAAGAAATTATCTCTTTTGGAAAAAGGCCACAAGAACCTTCATCTACTTCATCTACTACATGCTCTAGTTGTACTTCATTAAAAGCTAAAGTTGCTAGTTTAGAAAGCAAATTGGAAAAGTTTAATAATGCTTCAAACACCTTAGATAAAATACTTAAGTAAAAAGTTAGTAATGGTGAAGGACTTGGATATAAGAAAAACCAACCTAGAAAAACAAGTTTTGTTAAAGCTAGGGGGAATAAAAATGTTAGGATAAATAATCAAACTAGAAGAGCACTTCCTAGCAAACCTACAACTCATTACACTCAACCATATAGGATGAATAATCCAAACGTTATTTGCCATTATTGTAATAAGATAGGTCACATTGCACCTATGTGCTTCACCAAAATTAGGCATTTTCAACAAACGCACACACATAGCACATATGCTAACTAAAAAGGACCCAACAATACATGGGTACCTAAACCGTCTCCTTGATATCCTTTTGTAGGTGTGCCTGAAGGCTTCGAGTACCTCTTGGTATCTCGATAGCGGATGCTCCAAGCACATGACTGGAGACGCATCCAAATTTAGGAGTTTAGAGTATTTCAAAGGTGGCAATGTCTTTTTGGCGACAACAACAAGGGAAGGATTATTGGAAGTGGCACCGTCGGGAGAGACAATGCTACAACCGTTGAGAACGTTCTTCTTGTTGAGGGCCTCAAGCACAATCTTCTTAGCATTAGCCAATTGTGTGATAGAGGTAACCATGTCATCTTTGATTCTAGTAAATGCATTATAGAACGCTTGTGTGACAATAACACTATTCTTTGTGGTAGTAGAGTAGATAACATTTACATGTTTGATCTTGAAAATTCCCCGTCTATCTTAGCTAAGTGCCTCATTACCAAAGAGGAAGAAACGTGGCTATGGCATCGTCGGATAGCTCACGTTAACATGGACCATCTTAATAAGTTGGTTTCTAAAGACTTAGTAATTGGTGTTCCTAAACTTAGGTTTGAGAAGAATCTAATTTGTGATGCATGTCAAAAGGTGAAGCAAGTAAGGGCCTCGTTTAAGTCAAAGAACATTGTTTCTACGACTAGGCCATTACAACTTTTGCACATGGACCTTTTTGGACCTTCAAGAACTATGAGTTTAGGAGGAAATTACTTTGGCTTTGTTATCGTTGATGACTATCCGAGGTTTACATGGACACTTTTCCTTGCTCATAAGTATGATGCACTGAATGTTTTTAAGAAATATATCAAATTGGTTCAAAATGAAAAAGATTGTCACATTTCATCCATTAGAAGTGATCATGGGGGAGAATTCAATCAAGATGGCTTTGACGCCTTATGTGACGAATTAGGCATTGAGCATAACTTCTCGGCCCCCCGTACACCACAACAAAATGGCGTGGTTGAACGGAAAAATAGGTCTCTTGAAGAGATGGCTAGAACTTTGCTCAATGAGGCTAACCTTCCTAAATATTTTTGGGCGGATGCCGTGAGTACCGCGTGCTACGTGTTAAACCGAGCCGTCATTAGACCGATACTCAAGAAAACGCCCTGCGAACTTTACAAAGGAAGAAAGCCTAACCTTTCCTATTTTCAAGTCTTTGGATTTAAAGTTTTTATTCATAATAATGGAAAAGATAACTTGGGAAAATTTGATGCTAAGTCGGATGAAGGAATTTTCTTGGGTTATTCTCTTCGTAGTAAGGCATATAGAGTGTTCAACAAGCGTACTAAGACCGTAGAGGAGTCTATTCATGTTGTTTCCGATGAATTTGATGCTCGCTTGGCGAGAAAAGGTATTGTTGATAATGTTGTAGGTTCTTATGACGATGAAGAAGAAATCGTTAAGGAAAAGGAACCGGAAGAAGAGAAAACGCACGAGCAAACGGAGCTTCCTAAGGAGTGGAGAACGTTGAAGAATCACCCGATTGACAACGTCATTGGTGACATAACGCAGGGAGTTTCTACTCGTAATTCTCTTAGGAACACAATTAATCACATGGCCTTTGTTTAACAAATTGAACCAACAACCGTTTTGGATGCTATTAATGATGAACATTGGTCTATGGCAATGCAAGAGGAGCTTAACCAATTTAAAAACAATGATGTTTGGGAATTGGTGCCTAGACCTAATGATCATTCCGTTATTGGCACAAAATGGGTGTTTCGTTACAAACTCGATGAAAATGGAGTAATCACTAGAAACAAAGCTAGGTTTGTAGCAAAAGGCTACAATCAAGAAGAAGGCATTGATTATGAAGAAACTTATGCACCGGTTGCACGTTTAGAAGCTATTCGTTTATTACTTGCATTTGCATCTACGATGGATTTTAAACTTTATCAAATGAATGTTAAAAGTGCCTTCCTTAATGGTATGATTTAAGAGGAAGTGTATCTCGAACAACCCCCGGGTTTCGAAGACTATGAGTTTCCCGAACATGTCTTCAAACTCAAAAAGGTGCTTTACGGTCTCAAACAAGCACCTCGTTCTTGGTATGAAGGGTTAAGCAAATTTCTTTTGGACCATGAGTTCACACGGGGTCAAGTCGAGACTACTCTTTTCATCAAGAAAGATAACCAAGACATCCTTTTGGTTCAAGTTTACGTAGATGATATCATATTCAGTGCTACTAACGAGGTTTTGTGCAGGGATTTTTCCGATATGATGCAAAGTGAATTTTAAATGTCAATGATGGGAGAATTAAAGTTCTTCCTTGGGATGCAAATTAGACAATGCAAAGAAGGGACATTCGTGTGTCAAACGAAATATTGCAGGGAATTGCTTAAGAGATTTGATGTTACCGAATCCAAATCCATTGACACACCGATGAGCACTTCTTGCTATCTTGACAAGGATGAAAAAGGTAAAGAGGTAGACATCAAACGCTACTGAGGTATGATCGGCTCTTTACTCTATTTTACCGCGAGTAGACTGGATATCATGTACTCCGTTTGTATATGCGTTAGGTATCAATCATGTCCTAAAGAATCACACTTGGTTGCGATCAAAAGGATAATGCGATATCTCGCGGGCACGTTGAACGTAGGTCTTTGGTATCCCAAAGGTTCGACATGTCATCTTGTTGGCTATTCCGACTCGGATTTTGCAGGTTGCAAACTCGATAGGAAAAGTACCAGCGGTACTTGCCACTTATTTGGTCATTCGTTAATCTCGTGGTTTATTAAGAAACAGGTTAGTGTTGCACTTTCCACCACCGAAGCGGAATATGTCACTGCGGGAAGTTGTTGTGCCCAAATTCTTTGGCTAAAACAACAACTAGTGGATTTCGGCCTTATACTTGATCACATCCCAATTAGGTGTGACAATATGAGTGCCATTAGTCTAACGAAGAATCCCGTTCTTCACTCGAGGACTAAACACATAGAAATTAGGCATCACTTCATTCGAGATCATGTCCAAAAGGAAGATGTCACAATTGAGTTTGTTGAAACGAAAAATCAATTGGCGGACATTTTCATGAAACCCCTTAGCAGGGAGAGTTTCTTCCACATTAGGAACGAACTTGTCATTTTGGATATCTCTATGAACTAATTCATTCTTGTTATTGTCTATACTAATTTGAGCGTCGGAGGCACGATAAATTTTTTTGTAGGGTTTTTATTTCAGGTATCTCTTCCCTTGGTATCAACCCGGATTGGACTTGATGATTTTTTTCTGTCAAACAGTTGTTAATCGATTACTCCTCTAAGAGAAATCGATTAGACGCATCTGTCCATCTTAATCGATTAATAACCTTCCTTTTAATCGATTAATTTCTACAGCACAAATCCTTTGGCATGTTTCAATCTTTTTAATCGATTAATCCTTATAAGGAAATCGATTAGAACGGTACGTGCGTCCTAATCGATTAAAGCATTCAGCTTTAATCGATTAATATTCGAATTTTATCACTTTAAATCTAGCCTGTCTTCGTCTTCCTCGCCACTATTTCTAAGAAACTCAACCACTGCCAACGGAACCCTAGCCTCCTCCTTCAACTTCCATCTACGTTTTTCAACAATTTTATCACCAAATTTCACATATTTTTCACCAAAATTCATCAAATTCAAAGAGAAAGGATGCCAAGGTGCAAGAACCCCAACTCGCGTTAAGAAGGAGATCGTCTCACCGAAGATTGTGGACAAGGACCTCTTCAAATCGGCGACTTATGCCCCGAGTAAGTCTCTTTTCTCTGAGCAAGGTTTGCTTCGTTTCATCCATTTGACGTATGAATTCTTTTGTCCAAATCTTATACGTTAATTTTATGCAAATCTTCGTACCACTAAGGGAGACTCGCCATCTCTCATCTCCTATGTTGACGGCAAAACCGTTTTTATTGACGGTGCCGGTTGGACTTCTCTGTTTGGCCTTCGTCGAGGTGAAATTACCGAAAACTTGGATGAAACATTCCAAGATGAGGCAATTTGGCGACAACTCAGGTTAGATCATCGTAACCTCAAGTTTAGAAATTCTAGCAACCCGAGTGTCATCAACCTCACTTTGATTCAACGCGTTCAACAATACATCTTTTCCTATGTTTTGTTGCCCCGTGATTCGAACCATGGCATTGTCAACAAGGACGATATTCGTTTGTTTCACGTCCTGTTGAACAATGCCAAATTTGATTGGGTTCACTTCTCTATCGTTGCACTCAGTGATGGTACTTGTTTTTCCCATCTCCGTTTTGCCATCCGTGTCATGCATATCCTTGCTCATTGCAAAGTGGACCTTACTCGGGACACTCAGGTGCCGGTGAAGAAGACTTGCTTCATCACGGAAGCCAAGTTCACCCGAATTGTCTACCGCGAGGAAAACGAGCAAAATCTGGAACTGGTCATTCCAGACAAACAGGAGAGAGAGAACGAAGCTGAGTCGTCTCAGGCCGGAGGAAGTCAAACCACGGAACGCGTCAGTCGTCAACGCAGAACTCCTCCGAGAGAAGAAGCACCGGAACCTTCTTGGGTGAAGATGATCTTTGATACACTCACGTGCATCTGAGATGACGTTCGCCAGCTCAACGAGAGGATGACTCGTATCGAGCAATCCTGCTCCTACCGTGGCCCGCGTCACAGCTTTAGCGGAAGAGCTCGTCCGGCGAACTCTCTTTGATTATGTTGACCGTTATTATGACTTATTTTGGTACATTGCTAAATGCTATTTGATGGATACCCTAGATAGGGGGTATCCGGTCTTTGTTTAATATTAGTTTAGGCGGTCCAGTATGTTGGACCAGCCCATTACTCGTATGTTTATTATTTATTTAGGGGCGGCCTAGACTGTTAGGCCGGCCCATTAGTTCGAAACCCCATCCCTAATTCCACTCTTATTTATACTCCTCTTCTTGGAAGAGGGAGGGAAGGTGGAAATAGGGAGGCTCAACCTATACACACACTATTCATCTTCTTCTTTACACTCTTCTCCTTCTTTCCTACCCTTGGGTTCCATAACCCAACAATGGTGCTCTCGTTGAGAGTGTCGAACACATCAAACGTCCTCTCAAAATTTTTTAACAAAATTGTTTCTGTTCTTTTCGTAGATTCATCCTTGGTGAATCTTTCCCTTCCCTGGGAGACTACACAGAAATATTCCATCGAAACAAAGGCAGAACCCCGGTCCTGTCGACGAAGGAGTCTCAAATCTCCTGTTTCGGCGAGCAGTGCAACGGCGAAATAGGGCGAATGTAAATATCCATTCTTTTCTTTTTAGGGATCAGTGTGTTTTCCCTCATGCTGCACCGCCGGCCATCATCGCTCCAGTTCCGGCAGCCGACAGTGCTCCGCGGACCAACAACGCTTCACCTTGGCCCCAAAATTTGAGTTTCTTCCACCGCCCGTCATTGAGTAGAAATCTGTGCGAGTAAGACGAGACTCTTTGGGGTTGGGTTGATTGAGAATCTTTGCGTGAATCTGTCCAGATCTGCCATGGGCACTCGGGAAACCGTCGCCAGCTTCGAAGCCCGACGGGAGAACATCGCCGTAGATCTGCTGTAGATCCGTCATCCTAGGACCTAATTGACAGCCACCGACCGGTGCGTTGCCCTTGCTCTAGCTGATGGAGGTCCATCACCGAACGGACGTGACGACCAAGAGCTATACGGGATCCAGCCAGCAGCGAAGGACAGTTTCTCTTGAGTAGCAACAAACTCCAGCGGCGGCGTGACACCTCCAGTTCCGGCAAAGCTCCATGAACCACTTCCATTGCCGGTAAGGTCAATTCGGAAAACGCAGGTCTGACGCCAAGAATAGCACAAAGCATACTTTCCAGATTTGATTTGGGTGACGTACTGGGCGCCCAAATTCAGAGATCAAGAGAGAATTTTTTTAAATACCTTCCACATTTCGGCAATGGTCAGCGACAACGGAGGATTTCAAACTCCACTTCGAACTCGGACGGAATTGTGAGAGACGTGACCTAAGGCAATTTTGACCCGACCTGGACGGGGCTCTCTCCACCGTTCACGATGCCCAGCCGTGACCTGATAGGTTTAGCAGCCCCGGGTTTTACAGCGGTGTGGCAGTTCTTGCAGTCCACGAATCTTCATCGGGTGTTCAGGACCAGCGGGCAGCGGCGTAGAATTGTAGGCAAGCCTTCTTCCTTTGCGCATCGGGTGTTGCTGGTTGTATCTGTGTCCCTTTGTTGAGAAGGGGGCACGAACTTCTGTTGGAAGCCGACATCAATGAGTATCTCAAGGGCCGCTGCCACTCACGAATCCCCGTTGAGTGTTCGAGGCCAAAAAGGCAGTACCTGTGACCAAACGAGGTGGCTGGCACGGCTCGTGTATTGTATGGCCGGTTGACCACCGAGACTGGCCGGTGTCCTTGAAGGGGATATAGATGTCGGGTTGAATCAGAGTTCGATGTTTTCGAAGCTCTCGACCCAAGTGGACCAATGCTTTTGTCCGTTCACGGTTTCCGGCGATCCCATTTTCATCTACGGCGAAAGTTTTGCCACGGATCGGAGATGTCTCACCGACAAAAGCCAATTGGTTTGGTAGAGACTCACACAATCTACAATTTGTTATTGGGCGGATTCTCGAGCAGGCCCGACCTAAGGCTCCGAGGACACAAGGACTACGGTCTCCCTAGAAGCCATGGCGGCGCACGCATTTCCTTTAGCCAGCCATGGTGGAGGAATTCTTTGATTCTGCCGACATCCATAGCCAGGGACGGTCCTACAAACTGTCGGATAGGGATGTGTGGTGACGGCCAGAGTGTTGAGTATGCCATCCATGCTCCAGCCTGGAAACGAGGAAGTCAGGCAAGTGGGGATATTTTTTTATTGGAAAATGCTATGTGTACCCCGGTTTTGTACACCAGGCGTACACCATATAAAAGCCCAACCCCCCACCCCCATATCCCTCTCACCCACCCAGTCTCTTCTCTCTCTGTCTATTCCGATCAATTGCACCAAGCCCCCCTCTTCTTCGCGGGAGCCCTCTTCTTCGCCGGTCAACGATTCTGCACCCATTCTCCGTCTCATTCCCGTACCCAAAAGCTCCAGCCTTCATAGCTTTTCTCATTCTCGCATAGTCGCATCTGCCCTGTTCATCTTCCTCTTCCACCATCTTCATCTTCCTTTTTCATTTGCGACGTCAGCCTCCACTTCAAATGGCCTTCAACTTTACACTTCCGCTCCGGTAAATCAAATTTTTATTTGGTTTTTGACATAAATCAAATTTAATTTTGTTCATTGCTAGATCTAATTTTTTTCATTGTTGGTGGAAATTTTGATTTTCTAATTCGATTAGACAAAAATCAAATTTGATTTTTAGTTCACAGATCTGATTTTATTGCTGCATTTTCCCAATTTCAGTTTTGGAAATTTTTCATGTTTATGACGAAATGTCTGTGTACTGTTTGTTATTGGTGAAAAATGTTCGTATTTTATTTAAAATTTGCTCAATTTCATAAATTGCTTTGAAATGTCTATGATGTACTTCTTGTTGGCACAAAATGTCTGTACTCTAAGAAAAAACTTGCTTTGATTGAAAAATTACTCTAAAATGTTTGTGATGTGCTTATTACTGATGTGGAATGCCTGTTTTCCAATTAAGAGTCTACTTAGTTTCAACACTTGCTATAAAAAGTCTCTAAATTGCTTCTTATTTGATCTTTTATTCATTGTCTTGATAGCTACATATACATTGCTTTTTACATGTATTTGAAAGATATGTCAACTCAATGATAGTCAATGTCTCATATTTAATTAAATTTTTAAAACTTATAAATTAAGAACATACTCTAATGGTGGAAGATTTTGTATGTTACATTTGCAATGCCGATTGTACAATTATTTTCCTTTTGTTATAATTTGTTTTCACTGGTAACTTGTAGAGGGTTAGGTGTTTGTTATTTTTAAGGGCTTTGGTTTAGTTCACTCATCTCCTCTTGTATTTTTAATTTTGATAAAAAAATGTTTTTGTTGCATTAATTCTTTGAATATAACACTCACAGACAATTAGTGTTTATGATTTAGCATTCACAAACAATAAATGTCTATGAATGTCGCAGCTTACTCCTCCAGCTATTGTGTCTACTCAGATTGCACATGAATCCCATGAGAGTGCAATTGGAAAAAAATGGCATGAGACTTGGAGTATCAATTTGACTACACACAATCCTTCTTAAAGTTTGGTTAGGAGGTACTAGAAATATAAGATAAATCATATTTACTCATGTATCAATGTAATTGAATAAATTTTCCTTGTTTATTTCAATGTTCTGTTTTTGAAGTTGTAATAATTGGGGAGGCTTAAACGTTGCGTTAGTATTAAAAAAAAGTGTTGCAAAAATTGAAAAGAAAGATGTCATATGTTAACTCTTTCACTACTTTTGAAAATCGTTGCATAGACAAAAGTGTATGTAATTCATTAGAAATAGATATTTATTGTCTATTTAACCTGTGTAAAAATTAAATGCGTCAAATATACCACATAATGGAGCATAGAGAATATTTCATTATTTTCTCCAGACTATAAAAAAAGCTTTAATCATCACTTTCTACTAAAATAGACATTCAATATATGAAATTCTTGATAAATCAAGAACATTCTATAAATTTACACCACGATCTCTGTCAAAATCTACAGCTCCGACTACGTTGTTGAAGACAAAAATGATTGAGGTGGTCTGGGAGGAAAGGGCGATTACGGGGAAGCCGGTGGCGGCAAAGAAATTGAACGTGTGCTTCGTCGCCTTTCTCCAATCCAAATCTCGCTTTTGTTCTCCATCTAACTAATATATGAAAATTGCACTTGCCAAATATACCAAATAATACAATAATAAGAATACATCATGTTTTTTTCTTATATTGTAAAAATAAACTAAGTACGGAGTATGTTTTGGTCACCTAGACAACAAGCGTCTGTAATTCATTGTAAACAGAAACTTATTGTCTGTAAAACCTTTTATGTTTAAATGTAGACAGTTTATATGGTTTATTACAATAGTATTTCTTACAAAGTGTTAAAAGAGATCTAACATTTTTTCTTTTTTTAATATTAATGGTGACAAATCAATGTGTTTGTGATTTATAGATATTAAGAACTAACACAGACATTTATTATTTGTGTAATTGAGATAAAAATTTCACCCTTCAAATCTACAAAATAGTACTGTACCAAGAACATTTCTGAAATTTTTTTATGTTTAAAAAAATGAAAATTTACAATCAATACAGTTTAGTCACACAAACACTAAAACTCTTTATTTTCTTGAACACAAACATTTACTATTTGTATAATATAAATCAAAATAGACATTTACTCTCTGTGAAAATATATTTCACAGACAACGAATGTCTGTAGCATCATTATTTATTCTCTTCCACAACTATTCAAAATTAGTGCAGCCTTGTTCAATTTTTTTATTTAATAGATCCTCAAACACTTTTAAAAAACAAAAATCTTACAAAATAGCAAATATTCAATATCTATGCAACTTTATTGTAAAAATTCTATGAGATAGTTTCTCACAGACACCATATACCTGTGTGGTTCTTAAAATAATGAAATATCATTATTTCACAAAAATATTAAATCGGACTCCAAGAAGTCACAAATAAACATCTAAGACCAACAATAGTCATAATAAGAAATTTTTACACGGATTTGATTTGAACAAATCAAAAGATTGAGGTGTTGATGGTGACGGGGAAGGAGCAGACGACGACGGAGTTGATGCAGCACGACGATGGGTAAGGTGGTGGTGGCAACCACATGGAAGAGACCGCCGGCGGAGGAGATGACGCAACCCTAGGAAATCGATGCCTTTGGTCGAAGAAGAGAGAGAGACGGTTGCTTCTCATCTCTAGTGGTCTATTTTGTGGTGGAAAAGAAAAGGGGAGGGGGGGAGGGGTATATGGGGTACACATGTGGTGTACCCCCTAGCACATCTGTTTTTTATTTATTACTCTGTCTTAAAAAACAAGAAAGCTAGGGGACATAGAGGCTGCGACAGTAGACTTGACAAAGTCACGGGAAAACGCAATTATCACTTTTGGAGGAAAATTTGATGCTTTTGAACTACTCCGTATTACTACCTCCGTCCCGCTATATTCGTCCAGTTTTGACTTTTGGAACTGTTCATTTAAGCACTTTGACTCATCAAGTTCTCTCAATGTGTAAGCCTAAATATAGTCATGTGTGATCTTGTTTGATTTGTCTTAACATATAGATTATTAATATATAATTTCTATAATTTTTTAATATACAAATTACAAGATAAAATGAATTAAACAAGTGCATTGGATGATGTGCAAAAATGAAAGTGGACAAATATAGTGGGACGGAGGGAGTATTACTCATTATCAAAAGCAAAAGAATGGAGCAAGTGGGGCGTGTGGATGATATTCACGTGGGAGGTTCAAGCAAGCCAATGGCGAGCCCTCATGTTTGACTTATTGGGGATTTTTTGCAACCTGAAGGTTAGCAACTATCATTCTCCAATAATTGTTTACACATTAATATGCTCGTATTTCATTAAGGAAAAGAGAGCTAGATTCAATATTAATTGATCGCCATAAGTGAGAGAAATCCGTCCAGTGATATCATTATTGTGCTCACCTAGATGCAAAAGGATTAAATTCAATGTTTGGAACGATGATAGGGGAATCATGGTCCATTCATGTTCTGTACAATTTTATTGCATTTCCATTAAAATTTATACAAAGGCAAATAGCTGAAAGGGGATCTACTCATTGGGGTTTGCTGTTGGGGCAACCTCGTTGAGAAAATGCCCATCGTCAGCGATTTGGTTTCTTCACCCGGGTTCTGACAAGACTCTGTTTTTCACCCTCCCTCTTATGCATATGAGTCAAAATCTCATACAGCCGAGTGCATGACAACTCCGAAGGCCGAGCTCATAGTTTCTAGTGGAGCTCAATCCGAGCATGGGAGGGTGACCAGGTCCGAATGCGAGATAATGACAAGCCGAGTTCGTGCGGCAGTATTGTAAGATCCAATTCAGCGGTAGCGGTCTTAGCTGATCGAGTCTGCTGATACTGAGTGTACTACGTTCGACCGGGTGCCTGTTCTGATTCAAAATAACTTGAAGGGCCTTGTGAATTTTGTCCCATTCTTCTCTTCATTTGGCAGAGTACATGTTTTGATATCCGAGTATGATGATCTTCATCACTTCTGATCGCTGCGACCCGCCTTCACGATTTAGCTGAGATATACACCAACTCCTTATTTATATGAATACTACTCAGATTTGCGCCACTACTCAGATTTGTGCCACTTTGCTTCTACGACTTAAATAGTTCAAAAAAAAAAGAAAATAAAAAAATATATATCTCTTCCACGCGATTTCATGTTTGCTTCTACGTGACTTTATGCAGTTGTGCATCATCGGGCTTCCACGCTACGATATGGCCTCACGCGGTCCTCGTCATTGCAAGGTCCTGCTTAGGACAAAAACTTTCCAGTCCTGCTTAGGACAAATATTAGATCTGCTGAGATTGCACTTCTACGCTACCACGCGTCATCGGCGCCACGCCGCTCTAAAAAAACAAATTAACATCAACAGAGGAATTTTTCATATTTTGCGTTTCAGGTACAAAATGGAAGACCTCATGGCATACTCAGCCTGAGCCCGACTAGCAGAGCTCACGGATGACACATCATTTCACCCTTTTCCCGAGGTTGGCCTCGGCCACCTCGCAAGGTGTTCAAGTCCTCGGCCCCGAGGCGACTAAAAGCCCTCTCCCGAGGTTGGTCCCATCCACCTCACGAGGCACTTAAACCCTTGTCTCCCAAGGCAACCAAAAGCCCTCTCCCGAGGTCGGTCCCATCCACCTCATGAGGCACTCGACTCTTTTCCCAAGGTTGGCCTCAGCCACCTCGCACGTCACTTAAGTTGTTATTCCCCGATGCAACTAAAAACCCTCTCCCGAGGTCGGTCCTAGCCACCTCGCGAGGCACTCATCTTTTCCCGAGGTCGGCCTCAACCACCTCGCAAGTTGCTTAAGCCCTCGTACCCCAAGGCACCTAAAAGCCCTCTCCCGAGGTTGGTCCCATCCACCTCACGAGGCACTTGACTCTTTTCCCGAGGTCGGCCTTAGCCACCTTGCAAGTCGTTTAAGACCTCGACTCCCGAGGCAACTAAAAGCACTCTCCGAGGTCGGCCTCGGCCACCTCACGAGGCACTAAAGTTATCTCCCAGACAATTTCAACGCTTTTCCCGAGGTTGGCCTTGACCATCTCGCAAGGCATATAAGCCCTCGTCTCACGAGGCATCCTAAGCCCTCTTCTCGAGACACTCTTCAATGTCGTCCCAAGGCACACACCCCTAGCTCACTTTCTAAGACACAATCTTAATTACTCATAGAATGGGCGGCCTGGCCTGGCTGATCGGCCAAGCCCATCGAATTATTTGCATTTGTTTGATATTTTTTTAGGTAAATCATTATATGAAGGGAAGTCGCTACAGAGCGAGGGGACTAAAGACTCCCATCAGAGCCGAGCATGAACACTACTCCCTTTCAGCTCAAAATTCTTCCTCGGCTCAGGGAGTGGGGGACTCTGGGTACTCAGCTCGTGATTGTCACATTACACACCGTGAGAGTTTGGCGGATCAACATCTTGATCTAACATGGCACTACAGCAGTTCGTGCCGACATGCACTCTTTGGCAACACATTGTGGCGAACAACCCTCGGTTCCGGACAACGAGTCCGGGGACTTGAAGATCGCCTTATCTGAGATTCACACAGTTCTTTTACTCGAAGACCTCACACCCTTCTTTAATGTTTTTCTTGATCCACTCTGTGGGACGAGGTGTACTCTTTTCTTGACTAAGTATTTTTTCCCATCCTCATGGGTTTTTTCCTCGGCAAGTTTTTAATGAGGCATCCCCCGTGGAGTGGGTCACACATTGACGGGGTTTGGAGAGGATCTTTGAAGACGACAGATGGATTGCACATGACGACTCCATCACCCACCCTTATTGTGATCGTTGTGCGATGAACAACGAACATATGATGCCCTTTGTACAAGAGCAGATCATTTCAAGATAATGAGCAGATTGGTGCAGACTTTTACACCTTGCCGCTCTAGACAACGAGTCGGCAGTGCACCTCGTACTCATGGAGACAATTTCTTTGGCATCGCCGCTCCGGACAGTGAGTCGGCAGCAAAGATTGTGCTCAGTGCTACGATTTCTTTTACTTTGCCGCTCCGGACAACGAGTCGGCGGTGTGTGCACCTCGTACTCATTGGTGCAGACCCTTTCACTTTGCCGCTCTGGACAGCTAGTCGGCAATGCACCTCATATCCATGGGTGCAGATTCTTTCACCTCGCCTTACTTATACTCTGG